GAAATGGAAAAGCAAGTAAGTGTTGTGCTGTCAGCAAGAAGCATTTGAATTTAATTTCAGTGGGATGTTCCACTTCAGAGAAGAGTTTGAATGAATGAATATCTCCTCTGCTAATGTGTGTAAAACAATGAGAAGAACATTCCCTCGCTTCTCAGGGGCTGAATGTGGAAAAACAAGCTCAAAGAATAAGTGTTATTCTGGTGCTGAGTACGAAGGCACTGCTAAAGTGCAGTTAGAGTGAACATGACTGATTTTTGTTAGTTTTGGATTGCTTTTGGCCATCCTTATAACTGTACGCTGTTGTGTGCTGGGCTTTGAATCGAATAAGGTTCTTTGTTCCCAGTATACAAATGCGGACAGTGCCGTTTCAATGGGCATTTGTCTTTGCTAAACGAAACATGTATATGTGGTACTTTGTCAGAATTCAGAAAAAAAATCTCCCAATATTGTTCCCTAAAGTATTCCAGGGCTTCACTGTTTTGCAAGGATACATGTAAGTCACAGCTGATGAATCTTGTAGCTGGTAAAACTGTGAAGGGATTGTTTTAAAAATTAAGTTTGGTTCATCCCACTGCTGAGTGCGTGTGCGCGCCTGCATGCGTGTGCCAGTGAAAGCATGTTCTGTGGTCAAATTAAACTTCATTAACACTTAGCAACATTTGCTCTTTTGTGTGTTAGGAAACATATTTATGTTCTTGTTTTATTTTTTGTCATTAATCCATAAAACCATTAATCTGCCTTTTTCTTTCATTTTCAGTTCGGGTTTCCTGTAGAACCCTTCCCTTCACACCAGAGGCGAATGCCCCCACATTCGGTTAACATGCAGCTATGGCACTGTGCCTGTTTCCTCACTTTTACTCATTGCTCCCTTACTCTGCTCACCATTTTTTTAAGCGAGCACCTGCACCGCTGGCCGTCCTCGGTTGCTAGTTTTTGTGAAGAACTCGGCAATAACCTGCGTGGAACTGGCAGCAGCTGCTGGCTGCTGATCTCTCCTCTCTTGGTCCATAGCAGGCTGCCAAGTGCTTGTAGTACTAGTGTCCCCCCTGCTAAATCGTTTTACTTTTTGTCCCTTCCCACCCTTGGGTGCGAGGGGCGCACGGTAAGCTGCGAAGGCCACGGTCTCCGCAGGGCAGCCGCCCTCTCCCCGTGCTCTTCGGTCCATCTAAACCCCAGTCCTCGGGGGATTTTCCAGCGTGGATCCGTGGTTCGCAGCTCAGCACCCCTAGACGCTGTGGGGTCCCAGGGGCCTCTTGCCCTGTCCCGCTGCCGCAGTGCTGGGCTCGATGTGTGTCCTGGATCCAGTCTCAGGGAAAACTGCTCACCCTGCTCTAAGTACCTGTGTTTGTGAAGAAAAATGATGATGTTTCTTTAGCTTTCTTTTCAATAATTCCAACAATTTAATGCCAAAAGTATTACCCACCTTTTTATTATTATTATTTTTATTATTGTTACTTGGCATTTGTTTAGGAGTGTGCGGATGTTTATAGGTTGCTTTTTATTTTTTAGATTCAGCAAAAGCCTTTTCTTAATGCAAGATTTGCACTAAGAGGGAGGGTGTTTTGCTCCGTGTTTTGGTGGGGTCAGGAATTTGCTCAGTGGCCAAGCACAACTGTGGTTTGCCTACAGATGTCTTCTCTGTATTTCTGGATGAGGAAATTCTTAAAAAAAAAGAAAAAAATAATAAAGTCTTCCTCAGACAGTGAATTCTGGTTAACATTTACTTCTTTTGTTTTTTGTTTTCTTTGCCCTTCTTTTACAGTAACCCATGGCTCTGTACTGAGTAATTACCCCTGAATACAATGGGCTGGAATGGACCTTCATTTACTTGTTAAATCGGAGGGTCTAATAAAACGTGACAGCATTTCAGCTGTGACCTTTCCATGGTGTTACCCTTGCTATATGCTATATTCTCATTGTGAATCTGTCTTTATTATGTACTGGCGGTTATTGCTTTTGTTAAACAATGTAAAATAAGTCCATAATGAGGTTTTGGACACTGCAACTTGAAATCTATTTTTTTCCCCCCTCCAATTAATGGATTCCCCTTTCTCATGGCCCCTCTCCACCCAGATATATAAGGGATGTGGGATGTGGAAATAAGTTCTGTGGGTTATTTTTGCTGGCAAAATAACAATGCAGTTTAAATGTATTTATTGGTGACGTTAAGATAACAACACCACCTTAGTTTAATTATGGCGTAGTTGAGAGTTTAAAAACTGTTCTCTTTATACTTGGTGTCATTTGTGACATCATCTATCTTTTTTTTTTTTTTAATTTGCCTTTTTTTTTCTTTTGCTAATTCATGCTACCTGAAACCCACCACTAAATACTCGCTGCCATTTCTGAGTTACTTGCTGTGGTGCCGATGCTTGGGCTAAGCTGTCCCTGTGCAGAGGAGCCCCCGTCAGGACGTCTGGGCGAATAGTTTCATAAAAGGCTCTCCCAGCCCTGGGTTTGGAGCGAATGAACCCAAGAAGTCCTAAACTCTGATGAGAAACCTCAGAACTGGCCGTGAGAGGCTGTGCTGTTGCTTGGCGTCTTATCTAGGGATAGTCTGAAGGATGTTCAAACCTCACCAACAACTGCTCCCTCTTGCCTATCACAGACCAACACCCCGTAAATCCCACGCGGGCTGTGGTGATCAGAAAAGCTCCTTTAAGCTCGCTTTGTTGCAAGAGTGTGACCATATTTCCCAGTCACTAGAGCTTTTCATTGCCTTGCAAAACCTAATCTTCAGGGCAGTATTTTGGGCATCTCCCTGGCTCACATCCGCTGGTAAGTTTTACTTTAGCCCCTCTACTTCGGATGTATTTTCCTTTGCATTGATCCATCACATTTAAAGCAGCTTGGATCAGTGCTACAAAGTGAAAACCTTGTATTCAGTGATGCACATTGAAACATAAATAAAGAGCAAAGCTTAAAACAGTTCTCAGCATTTCCCTCCGCACCCTGTTGGTGCAGCGAGGGGCTCAGAGGAGCAGTGACCCCCATCCAACCAGCTGTCAGGGCAATTAACACTCTTGATCACGACATATTTATATTATGTCAGGTATCCCATTTCACTGATAAGACAACTTTATTTATCTTAAAATGCTTTGGCTCTTTTAATTATTTTTAAGCAAATTGAAATAACTTGAGTATTTACTACTTTGGTTACTGTTGAAGGTAGGTCTGTTCCCCAGACCAGTCGGTATCATTTTCTCAGTGTTTTCCAGGTTATTTGTTAAAAGGAGCATTTAATCTGGCTTTTGTTTCCCATGCTGCAGGTCACTGTCTGTCTTTCTTGACCTTTTGCCTTATCAGAGTGTTATTAAAATTATTATTATTATTTGATTAAAAAAGGGCTTATGTGATTGTGATTTCCTTGAAGTACCACAAGACACCAGCCTCATAGAAGAGGTGCTGTCTTTCCTCTGTCAGCTGTTTTCGTGTTGCATCTCTTTCTCCTGCTTTTTGAATGTCTTTCTCTTTTTTGATAATCTTCTGTTTTTTTCTCTTTTTTTTTTTCCCTTTCTCTCTCTGTAGCTTTTTTTAATCTGTCTTCGCCAGCTGCACTGGGTCTGAGGGAGAAGACTGCCACTTCTAGAAGAGTTTAGGGATCTTATGTCTGGGGAGGGAGGGGAAACAAATCTTCAGTGTTAGTGTCTTGGAAAGAAGTTCTTTTACTGACTTGCATGGTATTTAAAATTGGAGTGTCTTGTAGTTTGTGTGACAAGACAATAACAAGGGGGAAAACTGATTGTTTACTGAAAATTTTGAAGAGCAACAGAAATGTGATGTTTGGACTAATGATGTAGCGAATACGTTTTCAAACATTGTTATGAGCATTTTTTTTCTAATTTTGTCTTCAATTATGTAAATGTCGTGGACTTCCATAAGGTTGGAAGCCTAGGGAATATTTTCAATATGCTGTTGTTTGATTGTTTTTGGAAACTGTTGCATTCAAAGTCAAAAGAAGCATAAACATGGTGCAAATTGCTCTGTTGGCAGCCACAAAATATTTAATTTTAGCAAAGAAATAAAGCAAGAACTGCGTGTTTTCATTGGTGTCCTCCTGTGTCTCACCACCTTACTAAACCCTGCTGCCTGATCAATGTGGGTCAAGTGGTACTTTTTTTTAACTAGACCATCAATTGCATTAAAAATATGCAGATAGTCACACCTCCTCCTGTTCTTTAAAGTTAGAAAATGTTCCTATTCTTAGCAGTATGAGGAGGGAGGCAGCTGACGGCTAGCGTAACAG